ATGTCGTTTTCCTGCCCCAGCATCCTGTCTTGGCTCCGGTGTTGCATTTACTTGTCATTTCTCCTTGGTCTTCTGAAATGGGGGAGGCCCCTCCATCTTTCTCATCGGTTCTCTTACGCAGCTTACTGCTGGTGAGGGAAGTGATAGTATGTCCACTGTGCGGTAATTTTTCTTCCCTTTTGTAGTCCATAACTACCTTGGAGAGATACCTTGAAATGAACACAGATTTAAGTCATTTTAACCTATGAATCATGACATGCCAGGCAGAACTTGAACAAACAGGAGTAATTATATAGGATCTTGGCACCCATTAATAGACTGTCCTTTTCTGACTTTTTCTTTCAAATCGAGGGTCTTTGATTACGAATGCTGTGCCTTTTGCTATCACTACCATGCAGGTGGTAAGTAGATGCTACAGAGGTGTGCTTCGTTCAGTTTTTATTCATACTGGGACTGTGTTAACTGGCCTTCCCAGGGTGAAGCTGGAACGCTTGCCTGCCTGTAATACAGCAGCTTCCTATCCGAGGAAACATGATTCACTCGGGATAAAACCGTCCTCTTCAGAAGATGCTCCCTCCACAGCAGGCACTTTCCCAAACCCTGGAGCCAAATTAGCTCCTGAGATGATCATTTCAGTGGGGAAGGAAATACTGGGCTTATATTTCGCTTTGGACTGGGAACACTGCGTTGGTCCTGAGCCCCTTTGTGAAGGGTGGTGGGACTGAGGTGGGCCTAGGAGCTGCATCTCTTGAGATGATAATTAAAGGCCCTCATTTAAGGCTCAGATTTAGATTTACTTATATTTATTTATTTATTGCTTTAAGCCATATCAGGTTTTCAACCAAGTTACTAGAAGCACTTTTTACCAAGTTGAGTTTCTGTCCTTGTAAAGCTAAACTCTTTTCCCTGAGCCAAATTAATAAAATGGAATTTCTTATTAAGAATGAATTATTAAGTAAAATGGAAGCGCTGGTCTGGGAAGCAATTGATGCAATTTGTTTTCAAAGCCTTAAAAGTGCTGCAATATGCATAGATCACAAGGACTGGCTTAAGTGCCAAAGCATGGGGCATTAATTTTCTTTCGTAGAAGATTCCAGGTTCACAGGATATCAGAAGTGCTGACTTGGCAGTGAAATCCCATTTGTAACATGTTAGATTAGGAAACAGATTGATTTATATATTGATGTAATGGATCCAGGCACAGTGTGTGCTTAAGAAAATGGAGGCACATTAAATAAGAGCATTTTCAGAGGAAAGAAGTACAAACATCACAGAACAAAACCGATCCTATTATACTCTAGGTAAGGTTGGGATATGTTTGATTAGTTGATTCCTAGACATGGTCCACAGAGGCTTTTTATGTTTCAGATGATACCTTCTTGAGAGTCTCTTATGACCACAAGGATTAATCTTTCTGAACTCAAAAGTGAATCACTGCAGCATATTAGCTGTCTGGAATGATTCCAGTTACTCTCCTCTTTCTTGGTGGTAACTGATGTGAGGGGCTGCTTCTGCTTAGCTGCTGCTTCCTGTTGCTTTAACCTCTGGTATTTGAGATTCTCTTTAGGGAAGGTGATGCTGACCATCTCAGCACAAAGATCAAATGCACTCATCACTGATGTATTGACCTTAGTGGTTGACCCATAAACTGAACATTTATACAGTTGGAACTCTTGTGGTCTTTTAGCCAACAACCGTAATGAGTAACATGTGGAACATAATCTTTGGTGCTGATAAGTGACTGCCTGCACACTTTTGACCACTCCACTCTGTGGCTCGGGTGAGCTCACGTAACTAATTGACACTGTTTCTTACCTGATTTCATGTTTAGAGTATAAGAGGTTAATGTCCTGTTCTCCCCCCCCACCCCCCAGTACTTCTACCACACTTGAAATCCTGTTTGTTTAATCACTGCTTTTAATGTTAAAATATACAAGGCCAGAGGCTCCTGGCAGGCTCAGTCAGTGGAGTGTGCGACTCTTGATCTTGGGGTTGTGGGTTCGAGCCCCACGTTGGGGGTAGAGATTACTTAAAATCTTAAAGGGGCGCCTGGGTGGCTCAGTCAATTGAGTGTCAGACTCTTGATTTCGGCTCAGGTCACAATCTCAGGGTCATGAGATAGAGCCCAGCGTCAGGCTCTACACTGGTTGGGGGGCCTGCTTAAGATTCTCTCTCTCCCTCTGCCCCTCCCCCTCTAAAAAAATCTTAAAAATAAATAAAATATACAAAGTCATAGGATTTAGGAATTACTGCTCCACAACTTTAGATTTATCTGTGGTGGTTTAATTATAGCAGGTTTAGGAAACACTCTCCCTGGACCTATTGCTTTGGCTTTCTTATATACTTATCATCTCTTTCTCGATTTTCTTTATTTCTGTCTGGGCTTTTGAAGTAGGAAGGAAAGAACTTAGGGAAACACTGGTTTTGGTAGTTAAAAGTGTCCTTGGGGTTTCTTGGCCTTTGTCTCGGTATTAACCCATTTATGTATACTCATTTTCCTCCATATCGTAATCCAGCATTCTAGCCATAATCCTTAGATATGGCTCTCAAAAAAAGAACGGCCAATAGAAGAGGCATTTTGGTACACATATTGAACTCAGTGTTGAGAATTAAACACATCTGCCTTGTGCATCCTTACTCCTTTTAACAGTTGGTTTGAATTAATACACCATTAGAGTATTATTGCCTATAAATAAGTGCATGTTCCTTTCCACAGATATCCTTAAATGTTCATTTTCTTTTTCCTAAAGATTTTTTTTTTTTTTTAAAGATTTTATTTATTTTTCTGAGAGAGAGAGAGAGAAAGAAACAGCATGAGAGGGGAGAGGGTCAGAGGGAGAAGCAGGCTCCCCGCCGAGCCGGGAGCCCGATGTGGGACTCGATCCCAGGGCTCCGGGATCATGACCTGAGCCGAAGGCAGTTGCTTAACCAACTGAGCCACCCAGGCGCCCCAAGATTTTATTTTTAAGTAATATCCACACCCAACGTGGGGCCTGAACTCACAACCCTGAGATCAAGAGTTGCGTGCTCTACTGACTGAGCCAGCCAGGCACCCCTGTTCTTTCTTTTTCTTATCAGCCTGTAGCTTTATATGCAGTTACATGGAAGGCCTAGGATCTGCCTTCTACTTTAATAAATGATTAATCATCACAGTAGGGCTACAATCAATTCTAGTTGATAAAGTTGCTAATTGTTCTCTTCGTTGGATTTAATTGAGGTGTTTTTCAGCCCTGATTGATCTTGGCAATATTTTCAACCCAAATTAGCTTTCTCCCAGCTATCCAGCAAGTGTCTGTGCTTTCTTCTCTTGTACTGGTAGAAAGCAGGCTTATTTTAATGAGCTCCTAAGCAAAATGTGTGGAGGATGGCAAATTTTGCCTGGAGAAAGGTCATAATGTATTTCAAAATCAAATGTAGTCTCCTGATTGGAAGGACCATTAATGTCTGTGTTGTCCATCAGCACAAATAAATGAGAGTTGCTTAGAAAGCACATATTTTCCATGTATTATAAAAGTCAGTTACCCTTTCTCTTAATTGGAAAACCATTTTATGTTAATTGCTCTTTTTAAAAAGAGCAACATGATAAATCTTTAACCCTATCCGCCAAGTTTTTAACATTTTAAAAAACTGATTTTTATTTTGAAAGAACTTTTACATTAGGGGAGACTGCAGAACTCCATTGTGGATGCAATCATCGATATTGGCATATTTCTAGATACTGGGATGCCTGTGTTTTTTCTGGAACATGAAACTTTGTAGGAGCCTTAACTGTCATAATGCCTAAATGTTATTTCTCACCTGTAGTTTGTGATCTGTTAGTGGCTATGATCTTTTCACAAAGAAGAGGATACTAACCAAAGAAAGACAATGGAATCTGATTATTTTTATCTAATACAAGATAAAATTGTTCATGAAATCCCTTTTAGTGTTCCGCTTCCATGAATGATACCATCCCTCATTGAGGGATGCAAGCCATGCTTGACATCTTCTTAACTAATCTGTCACCAAGTCTTGCCTGTTGTGCTGTCTGATCTTTCACATCTGTTTCTCCGCCGTACCGCCTTAGTCCAAGGTACCATCCTCCCTCCCTCTCTCTCCTCCAGAGTCTGCAGCTCCAGGTTCCTGAGCCATCCCCTGCATTTACACTTGTTCCCTTTCAATCTCTTTGCCATCCTGCAACCAGAAAAAAGTATCACAGCTGCATTTTGAAAATACTTTGTGCTTAAAACCTCCCAGCACCTAAGTGATAAGACAGAAGTCCTTTCTTGGTCCACACACTGTGTAGGCTTGTCCCTGCATGCCTCTCCACCCTTCTCCTACTGCTGTCTGCCTCTCTGTCTGCATTCTCTCCATCCACATGGGAACCTCACAAGTACTGCTCCTCAGGAGGCTTCCCTGACCACCTCTGAACCCAAGCCTAAGTTAAATTCCCTTCCTGTCCGGTCCTTCAGCCCTGGGTTCTTTTCCTTCGTAGGACATCTAGGAATGTGATCACACTTTCTTATGTGTGAGTATGGACTCTTGGGCTGTCTGACTGTAAGCCCCACGAGAGCAGGGACCATAACTTTTGGCTCACTTTTGTGACCTAGGCATTTAGCATGTTGCTTTGCAAGCTAGTGGCTGCTCAACAAAATTTTGTTGTGTGAGTGAATCACTGGAACTTTAGCCATTCTGTACTTTTGTGGCTTACTACAGTAAGGAATGGGAAGTCGATGTGCTTGTATTAGAGCAGATCACAGTTGGATTATAGGCTCCCAAATCAGAAGTATCCAGGTGGGGAGTGGGGGTTAGATTTTCCATTGACCTTTTGCTTTGATCATGTAAGTCCAACGGTCATTGTTTTTTCTGGCCTAACTCCTGGGAAAAGGATTTGTTTATGAAGATGAAAATAATAAATAATGAAGTTTTAAAAGATGAGTTCTGTTACAAACCATTGGATGACTGTGCCTTTCTGCCAGCTTTTTTGGAGTAAACGTGGATTTTTTCTCTCCCTTCCGTAGGCTCTTGCAGCCAATGCTGGAACAGGATTTGCTGTCGCTGAGCCTCAAATTGCAATGTTTTGTGGGAAGTTAAATATGCATGTAAACATTCAGACTGGGAAATGGGAACCGGACCCAACAGGCACTAAGAGCTGCTTTGGAACAAAAGAAGAAGTTCTTCAGTACTGTCAAGAGGTAAGAGTGTTGCCAGAACGTGGAAATGACTTTTTTCCTGGGTCAGGCTTGAACCCCATTACCTTAGAAGGCCAAGTTGCTAATGATGGAGCACCGGGCCTTTATTTCTAAATATATATGACTTGGGGCTCCTGGGTGGCTCAGTTGGTTAAGCAGCTGCCTTTGGCTCAGGTCATGATCCCAGAGTCCTGGGATCGAGCCCTGCGTCGGGCTCCCTGCTCAGCGGGAGAGCCTGCTTCTCCCTCTCCCTCTGCCTGCCTCTCTGCCTACTTGTGCTCTCTCTGTTAAATAAATAAATAAAATCTTTAAAAATAAAATAAATATATATGACATGACTGAGACTTGTCAGAAGCTTTGCCTGTGTGCGCTGCGAGCTCTTGGTTCTTCCAGGAGGGAACAGTGCGGAACCGTACTCGTAAACGGGTGTGTAAGCTTGTACGGGAACACTGTAGAGTAGAGCCTGGTTCTCTTGGCTTCCCACTTATTATGGGAGGATGTGAAGCCAAACATGTCATGTGCGTGCTAGTAAAGCCTGGTTCTCTTGGCTTTGGACTTGCTGATAGAAAGCCACCAGTATCGTAAATGATAATCTCAGGTCTGACTCAACTTACCTTTTGGGTCAAAACGTGACCTAGAAAGGGATAGGAGATGTTTTAACTTCTTACCAAGATTAGTGTAGAGGGCCAGGGTTAAAGTATTATTCTCTAATTTCATCAGCAGACATTTTCCGTGGACTTGCCTTTTAATATGTTTTTCTTCTCAGCTGTTTACACGCACCCTACAAGTGGACATGATACCGAATAGATTTATTTTGGGCTTGAGAGCTTGCTGCTTTTGTATGTCCTAACTTAAATAAAGATTCCTCCTCCCCACTTTTTTTTTTTTTTAAGAGAATGCATTAGAAGTGGTCAGAAATCTACCTGTCAAAAGAAAACTAATAGTTACAGTATATTTTTACTCGATGAGTTCAGTTAGAACCAGGAGTAGCAAAGTGAAGTTGAGATTTATAGAGCATAATGATGACACTGACATGAGGCATCCTTACTTGCAAATGAATGTCCATTTATTATGGATAAAGTCCACTTACTGTGCGTGTGTTTTCTTTTCTTTGCAGATGTATCCAGAGCTACAGATCACAAACGTGATGGAAGCAAATGAGCCTGTCAGTGTCGACAATTGGTGCCGGAGGGACAAAAAGCAGTGCAAGACACACATCGTGATACCTTTCAAGTGTCTTGGTGAGTGTCCCGTAGATGCTCTTGGTTACAGGAACCTCCAGGAAGTGGAGGTTGCTCATTTTTAAATTTAATTTTCTCTGGCCTCTACATTAGTTAAGAAGCCAACGGCTGCAGGAATGTATTGTGGGACTTCTCTTTTGAATATTTCCTGCTTCCTAGGGTCGATGGTTGACTTGTCTTTGATGGTCATGACCTCTCGCATTGTGGGCATCCTCTGTCTTTTAAGGATGAGCTTTTTGCACGGAGTGAGTCAGAGTGCTGCCCTGAGAGCAGCCCAGCTTTGCCTCACATTGACGTTTGAAATTCCCATTTTATAGTCGTAGTAGTGAGTTGTACTGAGCAGCCTGAGGACTGGAGTCTTCTGTTCCTCTTACTTCCTTCTATACACATTTGGCAAGGTACTGAGATCCTGTATTGCTAGCGAGACCAGACTCAGGGGAGTTTTCAGGAGAAGTGACTCAGCTGCCTGAGCACACGATAAGGGAGGCCAGGGCTAGGCCCTGTGCTGCCTGCCGTTCTGAAGGGCCCACAACGGCTACCGGGCTTTCTGACCCTGTGGTTGGTGTTAATAAAGCTAACTTGACTAAAACTGAGCAAGGAGTTTTTACCCAGAAACAGTTGTTGCTTCAAACGCTTCTCTAGTTAATGCATTCGTCATCCCAACTACGTGTCACGGAGACATCCATATCCTGGGTGACTGAGGAACAAACGTGGTCGTAGAAGCTTAAAAGATCAAAATAATTGATTTTTGATGATCCATGATAGGATTAACATAGATATAGCATCAACATAGGCATTTTGGGTAGTTCGTAGAAGTATTTAATTTTAACCATTAATTTAACTCGCTCTACTTCCTCCCTTCATTAAAACCTTTCCTAAAATGGAGTAAGTTGCTTTTCTCATTCTCACAGGTATCAAAATAAGGAAGAATCAGCACTAAATAAACAGTGTTTAAAACATGTAGCAATTACTGTTTAAAGTATTCAGTAGGGGGAAAAGAGACTCTGCAGATGCTTACCACCATTTACTTTAAAATGGAGCATCATGCATTCATAGTGTGAGACCTGGAAACCTTTGGTGTGGTTTAAGGATGTTCTCCCATTCCATTTGGCTCGTGGAAATCTCCGGGTATGAGGTTTCATTCACTCTCTATAAAATCCATGAACTAAGTGAAGCAAGAGAGTATTTTTGAGTGTTTGTAGACTAGATAGAGAGTACTTGCTGTCATTTTTCCCTTCGCATTGTTTCCCCCGAAGACTTTGCAGCCTGGTCTGCCCCCCTCCTATAGGCTGTCATGGCTCCACTCCTCACACACAACTCTGATCTGGAGATCTGGGAGACCTTTATCTCCCCACATCCAGTCAGTTTTCAAGCCTGATTCGTACCTCTTCAAAATGGCTTCTCTGCATGGTTCCCAAACTGCACACCGAGCCGCCCTGGGGCATTGGCGCAAACTCAGGGCATGAGCATTGTGGGATATTTTTGATTTTCAAAGGAGACATCTCTCAGACATCCCATGAATTACTAGCTGGAGGTATTCACAGTTTCAACATCCTATGGCTCCATTCCTTTCAGTGACCTCCTGAATTTCTGGACTGTTATCTTAGTGGTTCCCGGGTTAAAGAGCCAGCGTCACGCCAACATAACTGGAGGAGGAGAAGGAAGGGTGATGGTGTTCAGTCGATTGCAATGTTGGAGGCATTGTGCGGTGCCCAGCAAGCACTAAGGGGTTAAGACACGAGGACTTACTAGGTAGTTGGACTTAACTACCTAGCTTTTGGTTATTCTTTTGGCTTGGAAGTGCTATGAAAATATTACTGAGACACTCAAGGGTGCTGTGACTCGGAAGTTGGGAACGTCTGGCTTATATCCTTTTCCTCCCATTGGATTCCAGCTGCTCTGGTCCCTGCCCGTTCATCCTTTCCTGCCTGAACGGTGACAGTGGCCTCCTTGGGTGCTTCTCCGTTCTGTTGTCTGTTGCCCTCTGACCTCAAATGAAGATTGAATTATTTTTCCTGCATGTAAAAGCCTTTAGGAGCTCTTCTTCACCTGAAAGATAGGTTGAATTAAGCTCCCTAGTTTAGGTTAAAAACTCCATGTGTCCCTTGCTCAGGCCTTCCTGGTTGTCTGTCACCCCCTGCTCTGTGTGCTGCCCCTCGTCACCGTGGGCATCTCGTGGCTCCTGGCCACTCACCATCCAAGTGTCATTGTTGGAAAGCCTTTCCTCTACTTCCTTTGCTTGGGAAGTTCTCCCTTCAAGGCTTACTTCAGGGGCTGCCTTCCTTTATTTTTAAAAGATTTATTTGAGAGAGAGGCGTGAGCCAGTACAGGAGTGGGGTGGATGGGGGAGGGGCAGAGGAAGAGAATCTCAAGCAGACTCCGCCCCCCCCCAAGCACAGAACCCAATGGGGGGCTTGATCTCATGATGCCAGGATCACGACCTGAGCGGAAATCAAGAGTCGGACGCTCAGCTGAGCCACCTAGGAGAGGGGCTGCCTCCTTTAAAGAAAACTTTTCCTCCTGGTTATATTTTCTATCCAGATAGGCAGATTTCTGAAATTCTCCCATTGCTGCCATTGCATCTGTCACCCTGTATGTACAGTAATGATCTGTTTCTGTATCTTCCTCCAACTTTTCTGTAAACACTGTGAAACCAGGGACCCTGCTTTAGCCCTCTTTGTCCTCCAGTACAGTGACAGTGTCTAGAACAGGATGCCCTTTTTAATAATTATAAGTCAAGACTGCTTACTGTAGCTGGTACACGGCAACAGTCATTCTCCTGCTTTATTTTCCAATATGCTATATGTAGTTTGAATTTTTCAGTCTTAAGAACCAAACAGTGTGGGGCGCCTCGGTGGCTCAGTCGTTAAGTGTCTGCCTTCGACTCAGGTCATGATCCCGGGGTCGTGGGATTGAGCCCCACATCGGGCTCCCGCTCGGTGGGGAGTCTGCTTCTCCCTCTCCCACTCCCTCTGCTTGTGTTCCCTCTCACTGTGTCTCTCTCTGTCAAATACATAAATAAAATCTTAAAAAAAAAAAGAACCAAACAGTGAAATGATAGTGTTGTTAATTAAATGCATGAAAGACAGTTTGAACATCTATTCAGTACTTTATTTGCATGTGGTCACTGAATAAAGTATTATATGGTCTTTGATGTTTAATTCAGACAATTTTTTTGTGTTTACACCACTATCCATTCGGACAACTTCTTAGCCAGTAAGTAGAGCCATCCACTGGTGGTCTAAAATATATACAGTTGCCTGAGGCTAAGCTAGTAAGGGACCAGGTGACTGAGTTTAAGGGAGGTAGCAGGACAGAAATACTGCCAATTCTTCCTTGTCATCAATTAGGAAGTAGATTTCATTAATTATTATTATTTTTTAAAGATTTTATTTTATTTATTTATTTGAGAGAGAGAATGAGAGAGAGAGAGAGCACATGAGAGGGGGGAGGGTCAGAGGGAGAAGCAGACTCCCCGCAGAGCAGGGACCCCGATGCGGGACTCGATCCTGGGACTCCAGGATCATGACCTGAGCCGAAGGCAGTTGCTCAACCAACTGAGCCACCCAGGCGCCCCTCATTAATTATTTTTTAAGATTTTTATTTATTTGAGAGAGAGAGCGAGAGCGAGAGAGAGCACAAGCAGGTGTGGGGGCAGAGGGAGAGGGAAAAGCAGACTCCCCGCTAAGCAGAGTTTCCCAGGACCCTGGAATCATGATCTGAGTTGAAGGCAGATGCTTCACCAACTGAGCCACCTAGGTTCCCCTTAAGAAGTAGATTTTAATGTCCCTCTGCTGTCCCCATCCTATCTCCCCTTAGAGCACCCAGGTAGAACTGACCTTCGTTAATAATTAGCACCACTTTCTTTTTTCCATATTCTTAGAAAGCATTTTGGTGATAGTCTTTTAGAGTTGCTTTTGCCTTTTAAAATTAAGAATAATTTAAAAATAATTTCAAGTTTACAAAATGGTTAGAAAAATTGTACAAAGAGTTCCCGTATACTCTGTCCTCAGATTTCAGATTTTCCAACTGTTACCATTTGACCAATATGGTAAAATTAACTGTATTCGCTCCCCCAACGCCCTCAACCCTTGCCCTCCATTGCTGGGATTTTGCGTTTGAGTCTTTTGGGGCGCCTGGGTGGCTCAGTTGTTGGGCACCTGCCTTCGGCTCAGGTCATGGTCCCGGGGTCCTGGGATCAGGCCCTGCATCGGGCTCCCTGCTCGGCGGGAAGCCTGCTTCTCCCTCTCCCACTCCCTCTGCTTGTGTTCCCTCTCTCCCTGTGTCTGTCTGTCAAATAAATAAATAAAATCTTCAAAAAAAAAAAAGTTGTTGTCTTTTTATCTTCTAGTACTTCAGTGTAGATTTTCTAGAACCAAGGACATTCTCCTATATAACCACATCATCAAAATCAGGAAATTATCATTGGTCTGAATCTAATCTGCAGACCCTATTCAAGTTTCGTCTTTTACCCAATAATGCCAGGACCTAATTCAAGATCACACATGTATCTAGTCTCTCCTTGTCTTTCATGACCTTGACTTTTTTTTTTTTTTAAGATTTTATTTATTTATTTGACAGAGAGAGAGACAGCGAGAGAGGGAACACAAGCAGTGGGAGTGGGAGAGGGAGAAGCAGGCTTCCCGGCTGAGCAGGGAGTCCAATGTGGGGCTCGATCCCAGGACTCTGGGATCATGACCTGAGCCGAGGGCAGATGCTTAATGGCTGAGCCACCCAGGCGCCCCAGTCTTGACATTTTTAAAGAGTACAAATTACTTTGTGGAAATACCTTGCAATTTGGGTTTGTCTTATCCTTTTTTTTTTTTTTTTTTTAAAGTAGGCTCCATGCCGAACACGGGGGTTAAACTCATGACCCTGAGATCAAGAGTCAGACTGAGCCAGGCAGGCACCCCTTACGATTCTTTTGATTTATGCATTTATGAGGAGACTACCACACATGTGTTCTTCTTGCTGCATGATATTAGGAGTTGTAGGATGTC